GCAGAGAACAAGAAAGGGGAGGGGACCAGCGAACAATAGAGGGAGGGCAGCAAACGGTTAGGAGAATAATTAATAAAATAGGGTAGTTTTTAGAATTGGCTATATAATGCCAATTATTTGGGGCTACCTTTGCCAAAACTTAATATGAGGCTAAAAAATTGCCAATTCCCCTTATGTGTTGTCATCGGGTGTCATTTTTTCTTTTCTAAATTTATTTTTGTAAAAAGAAAATTCGATTTAAGTTCAAATATAAAATTCTGCAAATTTATCAATTTTTTCAACATATGATGATGTATAAGTAATTAAAAATTTACAAAAGCATAAATATTTATAAGACAATATGTCAATATTACATAAAATTTTATGGTATTCAAGAAAGTCGACTTTGTTAAGATTGTATACCTTTGCCAAATTTTAGATATAAACTTATTGTTAATTTATAAAAGAAGACGAAGCATATCATCGTAAAGGTTTCACACTGAATCGGTATTATATATTGAAACCGTTAGAAGTCATTTATTTACCTTTAATCATTCAAATTGGTTTGGTCATGTTGTTCGATTAAAGAATCGTAGGTCTATTTATTTTTGCAATTCCTACTAAGTATACATGGACTACTGGAAAACTATATTCATAAATTTAATGGGTTAAGTTCGTTGAATTTGAATTTCATGTAAAAAAAGATAATAAAAAAAGAAAAAAGAAAAAAGAAAACGAAAAAACTGAAATAGATGATTTAGTTTTTTTAATTACAAAAATCTAACCAAATGCAATCAAAAATAGTTAAATTAGAATTCGTGATATGTTGGCCTGAGGGAAATAATAACTTTGGAAAATGGGGCCGGCTTGTCGTAGCCCATCAAATTTTATGGCCCGCGAGCTAGCCCATTTGACAGTATTATGATTCTATTTTTTATTTTGGTGATTCATTATTCATTAAAGACCCCATTCTAATACCTCAACTTATATAGTTATAGAGAACACTAAACTGTATCGTAAAAAATATAGTAATATGGTAATCATTTTGGACTACTTGTATGGGTTGTATATATTATGAATGAGATGAATATATAGTGGGAGTTAATGAGTTATGAGTATTATAGAATGAAGCAGTAGAAGTTTTTTTCTTTTTGTTTTTTTTAGAAGTAGAAGTTATCTTTCCTAGTTTGTGCTTTAGTGATTTTTGGTGATTCGAACCCACGATTCTGAGGTTGTAGATGGGGGTACTGACCATCTGAACAATCTCCTCTTGTCGTGCTTCGGTGTTTGCTTTGTGTTTGAGCTTATTATAAATCTTTAGCACATGTGAAGAAGATGCACTTTTGCTACTCGTGGACTCATGGTATTGGTTCGGTCGACATAGTGATATTTTCAGAAAAGAAACATTTTACAATAATACCATTTCTTCTTGAGCAACATAACATAGGACAGTGGGAAAAGTAATATCGTGTCAAAATAGGTGATGGTCGAGGAATTAGCAAAATAGGACGAGGTCCAGAAATCTCAAGCAAGCTTCAAATGGCTCGCAATGCAAGATTGACCAAGGTAAAGTCGGTCATGTTGTTGTTGCTGTGTTAAAACACAAAATTAGAAAACTGTTAGAAGAATAAGAGAAATTGGAAAAAACAGTAAAGATTAAGAAATATTCCGAGTCCACAATTTGCTTGTGCGTCCTTAAGGAATTTTAACCCCCTCACACGTTGCCAAGGTAATGGATTAAATCCTTCCAGGATAAAACGGAATAAACCTTCCTGCAACAGTGGCAATACAAACTGCAGGATACCAACGAACTTAAAGAACGGAGCAAAATCACACTTACGAATTTGAGAGAGAGAGACTGCGAATTAGAATGCAGTATTTTCAGAAAGAAGGAAATTCTGTAGTGTTTTTGGTGTGTTAAAAACGAAGTCATGCCTCAGAATTTATAGGCAATTATTGGAAGAGGTGTGATGTTTGTTCTGGAAAACTTGTGAATCGACTAAGTTTACTTATTGCACAAGCTATATCAGGTCGTGTACAGTACATGATGTACATTAAGCTTCCCAACACAAGAGCATACTCCAATTGAGACGTACTTTCACCTTTATTCTTTATAAGATGATGATTTAAGTCAATTGGAGTTCTTGCACTTCTAAATTCCAAGTGTTTGAATTTTTCAAGTACCATTTTCACGTAATGTGATTGAGACAAAGCTAGACCCTGAGGAGTCCTCTGGATTTTAATTCCTAGAATTACATCGGCAACTCCTAAGTCTTTCATATCAAACTTATTAGCAAGCATACGCTTAGTAGCTTGAATGTCGGCAATGTCTTTGCTCATTATTAGCATATCATCAACATATAAGCAAACAATGACTATATGATTTGGAACGTTCTTAATGTAAACACATTTATCACATTCATTAATCTTAAAGCCATTTGACAACATTGTTTGGTCAAATTTCGCATGCCATTGCTTGGGTGCTTGTTTTAGTCCATAAAGAGACTTAACAAGTCGACACACCTTCTTTTCTTTTCCCGGAACCACAAACCCTTCGGGTTGGTTCATGTAAATTTCTTCCTCTAAGTCACCATTTAAGAAGGCTGTTTTTACATCCATTTGATGGATTTGAAGATCATACAAGGCGGCTAACGCTATTAGTATCCGA